GAACAATTTTTCTGTTTTCTCCTGGTTGCCAGAGTCTGCTTTTAAAGGTAGTTTGCAAAATCAAATATTACCTCAGTGGGAATATATGAATTCATTCATATAATTAGTTTCAATTCAAACAAAAAAGTATTCCTAGCTTTCTTCTACATAAATTTTTCTTAAAAATTTCCTGACTATTCACTGCAGGAAGAAACTTTCCTGTAACTGCTACTATGCACTGATGTCAATTTTCAAAGGTTAAAAAAAAAAAAATTAAAAGTTTGATAAAATCTCAAATAAAATATCACCCCCCCTTTAGCTCTTTTTAAATAAATGTGTATTTGATAATACACATTTGTTTAATTGAAATGTACAAACCGGTAGTAAAGCTGCTTTGGAATCTACTTCATGAGTGTCTTCTGTAGATGGCCGCCTACTGCTACTTTTAGCTAAAAGAAAATTTAAAAAGATAAAAAGGATATAAATTAAATTATCTTTTAATACTAACTAACCAAACACAAAGTGTTTCCAGGCACAGTATTACCATTATAAGATAACATCCCCTCTCCAACACTGCTGAACACAAGAGTTATATGAGGCCTCAAAATTATTCATGGAACCTCAAGATTATTCAACTTATTTTGAGTCAACTATTCGATTTACTTCTTGTGGGAAGGCAATACGAAACAAGGGTATGAACTAAAATATCTTTCTCTTCCTCCTGTTCCCAAATCACCCTTATTGGGGGCAAAGTAATTAGTGTCTTGTGTATCCTTCCAAGGATATGTGTGTGTGCGTACTGTGTGTGTTTATCCCTTCCACCCCCTCCTGCCTTTTATAAACATAAATGGTAGCATAATATATATATCTTGAATTTTTTGATTGGTTTCTTAACTTTAAGCCTGGAGATTTTCCAGAGGTACACAGAGGCAGTTGGTCCTGTTTCTAATCTCTCGTTTATAACAATGTTACAATAAGTAATTCAGTCCCCACCCCTATTTAAGATGACACCTTTGTTGTCATATCTTGTTTGTTTGCTTGTCCTAAATGAGCTTCAGAATTAAGCCTATTTCTAAAAAAAAAAAAAAAGTCAGGATGTTAAATTATAAATCAACTTAGGACTTAACAATTTTATAATACAATAAAGGAAAACCTGAGAATGACTGAATAAAAATTTTGGAACAAATGCTACATTCCAGTTGTAGAGAGCAGTAACATGAGATTGGGATATAACAGAAGACTGGCCGAAACTTCTTCAATATAATGAAAATGATAGAATACATTCTATTCTGAATATCTTAAAGAAATTTAGTTGAATACCAGAGAATCTACAGTGCTAATCTAACCAAAATTATAATACAACTACACTGGAGGGAAAGGGTAAAGGTGTATGTGTTATGAGAACAGAGAATGGAAAAAGAGAGTTCAATCCTTGCTTTCTTTAGAAGGTCAATCGATGGCTTCTAAAATTGAAATATGAGGATGCAGCAGCAATATAAACATGCTAACTTTAGAAATAACACCCATGTTATCTTAGAATACTAATAGTTTTCTTTCTTTCCTCCTAATCCTTCTATTTCCTTTACTTGCCTTATCACTCTAACTAGAATGTAAAATATAAACATTAATAGCCAGAATTCTTGTCTTGTTCCTCATCTTGGGATTTCAATATTTCATTATGCAGCATATGTTTGTGATAACTTTTGTAGATAGCATTTATTGAGATTAAGGAACTCCATTCTACTCTTACTTCGGTAAGAGTTTTAATCATGAATGGATGTTAGATTTTATCAAATTCCTTTTCTGCAGCTATTGAGATGAATTTATGATTCTTCTCCTTTAATCTGCTACTATCATGCATCATAGTAATTATATTTTTGAATGTTAAACCAACTTGCATTCCTGGAATAAACCCAATTTGGTCATGATATATACATGCTGCTGAACTCAGTATACCAAAAGAGAATGAAAGGAAAAGTGATGGTGAGGGGGACAAGCTAGTATTGTTTTTCTTAAGGAAACTTTATAATTATTCAACTTTTCAATTATGTGCATGTAAAATTTTGACTCATAAAAAAACATGAGATATAGAAACATCACAGGATATAGTAAGTGAAAAATTAATGGTACAAATCAACATGTATTGTATGCTACCTTTTGTGTAAAAGATGAGAGGCAGAAAAGAATATTGTCATGTATGAGTGCATAAGCATGAAACTCTAGTGGGTAGGCAAAAACAATAATGGTTACATGTGGGGCTGGAGTGAGAGGGAGACTTTTCAAAGTTTGCATGTGTATATATTTTAATTTTGAACCAAAAAATGTATCAGCTATTTTTAAAAAGTTAAGCTAGAAAAATGTGTTGAATAAATAATGATACAGATTAAAACACAACAGATCTGTTTGTAAAAGTTCAAATCAGCAGATTTGTAAAAAGCAAGTCTTTATATGTTTCACCTTTATGGACAAAAAAATTTATAGAAAGGATTACAGGACTTATTCAAAGTTACAATAACAATGATGGACCAGAATCTTGATATTTTGACTCCTGGACCATTCATTGCTCGGGTGATTTGACAAAGATGAAACACATTTAAAGCTTAAATGAGTACATTTGCTAACAAAATTCATATAGTCAAAATACTTACCTTGTTCTGAATGAAGAGGAATGGAAGTTTTGGGACACTCAGTAAATCCAGCATGAGAACTCACATGTTTCAAAGTGTTTTCAGAAGGAAAATCATTCTGCATATATTGTACATATACATCATTTTAAAATAATTGAACTAAATTTCATGCCAGTGTTCTAAAATAGCATAAGAGTCACTTATCTATTTAGCTCAATATGCTTTATTCTATCTGGACACCAAAGGGTATACTGTAGATTATGTCTATCACAAAACCTGCATCAAAACACCCTATTTGCTTATTGTTCATAAATCCACCTAAGTGACTCCTTTTCACTGTAATATAAGTTCACAAAAAAATTGGGAAAATTTAGAAAACTTTGGGGAAAAAATAAAACAAAAAAAAAACTATTGTCTGACATTAACACATTGGGGTCTTGGTAGCTTTCTTATTGATTTGTATGAACTATTTATACAACAAAGATATCTGCTCATTATTTGTCAAATTTCAATTTTTTTTCAAATT